ATAGCTTTAGAGGACATCGAGACGAATTCAAAACATATATTACATTATATTTTTATTAACATATTACTCGATTTACAGAAGTGGAAATGTGAAGTAAAAGACTGGAATATTATGTGATGGAAGGCGGCATATGTTACATTTTGAACATGTAATTAAATAAAGTGTATTTTTCTTATATTCTAGTCGCGTGTTTACATTCAGTGATCTCTTTGGAACCAAATAATGGTTACCCTACCAAAATCAAAAGCTAAGTACTTTACATTTTTCCACTTCTGTAAATCGAGTAATATGTTAATAAAAATATAATGTAATATATGTTTTGAATTCGTCTCGATGTCCTCTAAAGCTATAAATAAAAAAAAATGTATGTTCCTATTTAAGAAACCCAAGGTGACCTTGACTTTGCCAAGAGGACAAATTGTTTTCAAAATTTGCTTTACTAATATCTATTGTGCACTTCATACCCTGCAAATTTTATTCTAAACTTTTTTTCGTAAGGTGGCTGCAAGTGGGCGAAAAATCGTGAGTAGCGTTACAGGTAACACCCTGTATACCGATTTTTATATGTGAAATATTATACAATACAAAAAAGTGTTTGACATGTATTTTCTTTTACGTGCGAAATCCATTTTGAAGTGGTGAAAATAAAATTGAGGTTGAGAAAACTATTCTTACACATGTCTTGGGAACTATTAGACCTAGACAAAGAATTCAAAATGTCAATTTTTCCGTTTTGAAAGGTCAATTATATAGCGCATGTGGATATTTGAAAAATTTGTTTGTTTAAAAAATATGTTAAAAATTTTGATCTATTTTGATCGAATTTCTTATACGTGAACTAAGTGAAAAGTTCATAGTGTATGTGAACTTTGGAAAGAGAAAATACGGATAAATTGAAATTTTTAATTTCTCTCGTACAAAAATTATTACTGTAGTTGTAATTATACGCACACTTTATACTTCCGTTTGGAGCGCGGCTGACTTCTATACAGAATATTCTGCCAATTGTATTACATTATATTTTATATATTAAATTATTCAAAAAAAAATCTTCCATGGTTGTCCCTATAAAATCTGGTGCCCGAGACAGGCATCTGTTTGTCTCGAGTTATAAGCACATACTGATTGCAATATGTACTCCATTTATAGACGATATAAAAGCGCAGATTGCACTCGTGTGAAGTGTACTATCTTCATGGTTAATTTAGATTATGTGTTCATTGAGCGTTATTCCACGTTTGTAAAGAATATATGTAGCAAGTATTAAAAGAGCTTGCTAAAAAGTGTTTTGCTAAAGCTCTGAAAAGACTTAGATTTGTTGTAACTCTGAAAACATCTTATTTTTTATAATTTCGAGAACAGTGATTTTTATCTTGAAATAGTATTCTAATGCAATGGTATTCGCTGCAAGATAATGTTAGTAATCTCGAAGTGTATTTTCTAAAGTAACAGTTTTGTAACTTTAAGTAGTGCACGTTTACATTTTTTCTAGAAAGTATAAGACTCAATTTAATTAGCTAATAAGTAATATTATATATGATATGATTATATGATATAATCAATAAAAATATCACACTTAGAATTTCTTCGGACACGTCGATAAAGTAAAGTTCTAGCAAACAACACAGGCGCTACAGAAATGTGGGTTTTTCCTCGGAAAACTGCTCTAAATCACGTAAAACTTTGCAGATAAACTCCTTTCTATGAAAAGAAACATCTGTGAGAACACTATTTGTGGCTATTCGAGAAAAATTTTTACCATATTAATATCACTCTCTACCTTACTGACGGTACATATATGTTATGTGTATGCATATACGTCTATATATAAAATTCTTGTAATTTTGTTGTACATGATTAATGTAAATTCTATCTGCCCGAAAACACTGAATAGGTTTGGTATGGTTTTTGAGGGAGTTTGCAATATATTCCATGAGCCCAAAGATGCGGATTATGTGCTTAGAACAGTTAAAACACTGCGCAGGATTTTGTCGGTAATATAGGGAATGACATAAGATTAGTAGAAAATTTTCTTTCGAATCGCCAGGACCATTCCTACAGATATCCTCTTTTATAGAAAGAGATAGTGCACAAAATTTGGTCGGTGTCGAAGCATAACAGTTTTCAGACTTTGCATCGTAATATCGAATCTTCCAAACTGTCGGTCACGAAGAATTTTCGCCTCGGCTCCGTCGTCGGTAATGAGGAACTCTATTTATATTTATTAACAAATAATTAATGCTGAAATCAATTGGACATGATTCAATTAATGACTTTTGAATATTTCCAATTTTGTTTCAAATAATTAATGCTGAAATCAATTGAACATGATTCAATTAATGACTTGAATATTTTCAATTTTGTTAAAATAGCAACATCATTTATTCATTTATTCTGTTTTTAAACCTTCAATTAAACATACGTATCGAAATACATAGTCAAAATGAATTTAGTAATATTAACTGTCTTTGCGCATCGTTTTATCTATGTGTGGTAATGTTGGAAGACAATTTCTATAGAAATTTGGAAATATTTCTTCCTTATTTAATTAATTACTTCCTATATTTAATTAGTTAATTAATTAGTAACTTCACCAAATGATTCTGGACTTTTTTAATTTGAATACACGTTCTTGATTAAAGGTTTTATAACAGAATGAATTGAAGATGATTTTGTTTTCAAAATCAAATGGAATACAATAAAAGGACGGTTGCTTGAAACATCAATCATTTGTTCTGGACTGCAAATAGAGCTTTTCTTAACCGACGACTTTGAAAATAGAATTTTTCTTCACCGACAACTCCGATGATCAACACATTTCTGTGGTGAGCATCAGAGTCGTTGGTCAAGAAGAGTTCTATTTGTATTTCTGAACAAACGATAAATGTTTAAAGCAATTGTTGTTTGAACGTTTTCATTTGTATTATAAAGACAAAATCGTTTACTATTGTATCACTGTACCTCCCACATAGGTATATTTTGTATGAATTTTATATAACTTATATATATTTTCCGCAGTTTTCGTCGACCGACAGTAGACAGTTACACAATGTAAAAATCGTTGAAGCAAGGAAAATCATTGAAGCAAGATAGATAATTATATTAAATTCACCTGCAGAGAATTGAAGGCAGTAGACGGTGCATCGAGTTTGATGCCCTCGGAAAAATAATATTTTCTTTACGTATTTTTTTCCATTTGTCTTAACCGCCTTTCTATCATTGATTTATAGCTTTGTAGCAACCGAGTCTACGTATCCCTTGGATACGGTGTTTGTACGGGGGTAGCTACCCCCTTCCAGGCTCAGTCGGCGTCAGTTCTTCGAAGGTAAAGGCTGTACTGTGCGTTGCTGCTGCTTCTTCATTGCAATTCACTGGATTTTGAATATTGTTTATCAGTGCAAGTATCTGTATTTTAATATATAGCAGTGTTTGAGGACGTGAAATCTTTATGGTGTCAAAAATGTGAAATTCTAGTGAACCGTTGTGCTTACGCGTTGACAGCTACGGCCGCGATAGGTATCTGTTATGAAACATATCGAAATCGTAATTATGCTCATTATTGTGTGTAATATATTTTAATTTTCTGAATGTGTGAAAGATTGGAAATTCGAGGGTGAGGAATGTTATATTAATACGTTAATTGTCACGATGACAATACATATTTGTTGTGATACGTTGCACTTACCCCTGCACCTAACTCGAGAACTGATCATCTTTTCTGCACCTAAATCGAGAACTGATCACCTTTTAGAAAATTATCTAACATACATAGGAAAGTAGGATACGAGTAACATGGTTAGTAACTGTAGCGTGGTGGTATAATAGTGTTACATATTAAGAAAACAACAGGGTAAAAAAACGGTAGAAGAAAATTTTCTGAAAAAGTTAATTGTGTTAATTAGTGTGCGTGTCTGATACGATTACACATTTCACTATGATAATGTAAAGAATTTGAAAGTCAA